AAAAAAAAAAAAAAAATCATAGCAATAGTAATTGTTGTACATTTTAAAAAAAGCATTTTTCAAAGAGGTCTCAGAGTTGGGATATGTGTGCCGTCCTGGGCATGGTGATAGTGTCAGATACAGTCAAAAGCCATACCCCTCTACAGGAAAAGTTTGTAGCTGGGATATGCTGGAAAAAAGCTACACTTCAGGGAAATAGAAGCAACCATGTTTGTACATTAAATTATAGCAGAGAGTTTATACAGTAACCTTAAAGGATATTGTAGCCATGAAAGTTAATACTAAATAAACTCCCAACTTAGTGAGCGTTTCAAATCTAATTTTACATAATAAACCACACATGACTGATTGGAAAATACAGATGATATATACTTGATGTGACAGTACATCTTAGCTGCATTGAACTGGCATCTCTTAATATCATCTGTGTTTCAGGACAAGTGACAAAAGGAGAAATTTAGCTCAACAGAAGGCTGAGGCTCAAAAAAGACTGTATGGCCAAGGGTCAATGAAGAAACTGCTGCCAGGTTCCTCAGACTGGGAGAAGCAGCGCCACACGCTGGAAAGGAGAAAAGAAGAACTGGTAGGGAGCAGAAAGAAGGGCTGTTTCTTGCCCATGGTTTATGGCCCCTTTGTTTTAATTGTCTTATTTTCTTGCTTTGTAGAAGGAAAGACTTGCACAAGTACGTAAACAGATTTCCAAAGAGGAGCATGAAAATAGAAACATGGGGAACTACAGGTGCATATTTTTGACTGTATTAGTAGGAAGTATTCAATGCATTCATCAGGAATAATGGAAATAAATGTTTGTGGTAGATGACAATTTTCTGCTAAAAATGTGTATGCATTTATAGAAAATATATACACGTACTTCAGGTAGGTTTTTATCCAGGTAGTTCTTCTCTTGATTCCAAATTTTTATATGCACTTAGGAATTTATATGACATCAGTCACCTCAGTATTTGTGCAAGACATTTGTTTGAAAGACTTGTTTATTCACAGTCAGTGTATTAAGAATCATGACTGTTGTTATGGACCTGTCCTGTATTCACATACGACCATCCTTGTCTCACTGGGGATGAGGGAGGGCAATATAGGGGTATGATTATTCCCCTGTAAAGAAATCAAATCTGATTTGTATCTCAGCCTTGCCAAAAATTCAGAAAATTTAGTAGTGCATCCACCATTTTTAATAGAGTGACATTTGAAATACTATATATATTTTTGCACTTTGATTTTGGATCTTAGTAGACCTTTGGATTCCTTGGTAAAATATGTTCAACAAGAGCTTTATCTTGTCAGTTAAAATAGGCATTAGCCAAAACCCAAAAATTTTGTTTTATGACGGTTTTATTATTATTTCTTGATTTATGCTTCGATGAGAAGTGAAAGCAAGGCCTATGAATATTTGTTGAAAGGAAGCAGAGTGTGGCTAGGAAGAGATGATGGGAACATTTGCCCACTCTTTGTAACATTCATCCAGAATGTGAGAGGTTCACATAGTTTATTCTGAATTAGTCAGAATGCCTTTACTGCTGTTCTTCATCACTGCTTTTTTTGAGATGTCTTGTAACTCCCAGTAGAGTTCTCATTTAAACAAAGAGATGTTTGTGTGAAATTTTCATTTTTGATGACTTAACATTTTGCTTTCAAAAAGTCTTTCTTCGTCACTTTCCCATTTTTATTTTTTGCTAACTTTAAAATTTAGCGTATTAAATGATCATGTTTCAGGTTGTTTATTCCGTTCTTGACTGAGAAAGAGCCACATGTTCTCCTTATTTAGCTTTTGGGTTAATGTCAGTCAATACAAACACAACAATATCTTTTTCTCCGGAAGAAGGGAAGTGTCGCTTCAGTGAGGAATGGGCACTTGTGAAAGGGCAGAACAGCTTTGTGGTTTCTTATCACCATGTGCTAGAGAAAAGGCTGAAGAATCAGAAGATCCTGAGAAGGAAAGTAATCTTGCCTAGAGATGCAGAGGAATATTATCTGAGTGTTCTGCAGTATTTTCTCCATGGGATATTCCTTGGCAAAGCAGGACTAACTTCTGTCAGGCACTGACACAGAATCATGGAAATTTTGGGTGCTAGTATTGCTGCAGGGATTAATATTGCACTCTAAACAAAAATCCAGAGGAACCTCAATCAAACCTCAGCAGGCTTGAATTCAGCCTGGGGATGTCAGCTCAGCAACTGGCTTAGCTGATGTCTGTCTGCAAGCACAGCTGGTTCCAGGAGGAGTCTTGGGGCAGGTGAAGCAGGAGCCATGCTTTCAAGATTTTGTGAGTTCATGAGGAATTGGAAAGGACATACATGGCTTTGAAATGGCTTTCAGCTGCAGTCTATTTCTACCTATATTAAAAGTATAATCCTTCCTTTAAAGTACTGTCCTATGACACTTTTTCTGCAGTAGAATCCACACCATTAAAACATGTTGGCTGAGCCTAAATTAGAGCTCCTTCGGGTCTCACGTGCAAACTGGAACCATCTTCGTATTGCTCTAGAACTGCCCTGAGTCTACTGATATCATAACCATCCTTTCTTCATTGCAGCCAAATCCTCATGATAGATACCTTCCAGGGAGAAAAAGTCTGTAAAGGAAGAAGGAGAAAGAACTTTTTACAAAGTTCAGAAAGGACTCACAAATACATAAAAGTCACATAATACCGGCACTAAATAAATGGTGTCTATGCTTTGCACACTGCAGGCAATATGGATTACTCCTTACAATTCATTAGAAATCAAGTTTTCTATCTTCATAATTTCTGGCTGTGCTTCAGGCATTGGTGACAGATGGATTGGAGTGGTTTTCTTCAAAGCCCATTGTTGCATGATGAACATGAATAAATCACCAAGTCCTGGTTCTCATATTGCCATAATCTTCTTACCTGTGATTTTAGAGAATAATGGCATCGCTGCTCTAATGGAAAATCAGTCACTCTCTATATCCATGTACCAGAATTTTTTTTCTTTCTTCCAGTGCCTATTTCTTCCTGTTATTTTTTTGGAGGCTTGGAGGATTTAGCATTCAAGTTCAGTACATATTCAATCTTTAATTTACATCCTGCTCATGAAATCAAAGCAATTGTTCAAATTTTCCCTGGTTTGTGTCCTTTTATTGCTAATACAAATTATTTGGTGGCTCTAAATTTTACATGCAATATTTTGTTAATATTTAATGAATCATTCACACCTGCATGCATCATTCACACCCACTGAAATTTCTAAGCACTGCAAAACTGGGTTTTGGTGTACCTCTGGAATGACCTGCATGGTATTTCGTTTGACTGGATAATTGCTGGTTTAAACATGAATGTGTTGACTGAGTTAAAATTAGACTTAGATAGCAGCGTTCAGAGAATGTGTTTTATGGTATGATATTATATAATTATTATAGATGGGACACACATGCATTATAGAACAGACTGTATTGGTGACATTACTTTTGTTCTTTGATAAATAGCTCAGGTTCTGTCTTTAAACTCCTCTCCTTTTTTCCCTGTGTTAGGCGAATTTACCCTCCTGATGATAAGACACTGCTTGAGAAGTATGACAGTTTGTTGGCCACTGCTTTCCAGACCTTTCTTGCTGGAAGAGCAGCTTCACTGCAGCGGGAAATGAATAATCCTTTAAAAAGGATGAAGGTACTGAAGCACATCAAGTATTGGCTTCAGGAGTTACTTATCTTTGAATTCATGACCTTGTGGTTTAGTTTCACGATAATCATGTGTAATGGCTAATAAATAGTATTTGATAACATTTCCGTGATTTTATTATTATTCTTTGTGCAGCTTGTGGGCCAGATCCTTGAATCTGGATGAGCTGTGGTGCACCCAGGGTGCAGACAGGCTAAATGGCTTTGAGCTGCTTTACCATAGCCCTGATCCTCAGCCTTCCCCCTGGCCAGACCAGAGGTTGGCAGAAACTGCTTTTGAGCTGGGAATTGCCTCCTTCTTCTCTCCAGTAACGTTCCTGGCCTATTCATCCACCTATATGGACTGGAACAAGAGATATCCTAAAACCAGCTCCACTAGATAAAGGCATCCAAAAACTCAGCCTGTGTGCCTACTTATTTAGTCAGAGACAGTAGGAAAGTGACTGTATTAATAACCAGTTAATGTGATTTAATTTAAAATCTGAGAAATTATTTTGCATCTTTGTAGTTGGCATCATTCAGCAGTTTTACAGGAATATTTGTTCAACCCTTTCTTCAGAATTTTATTTTTAATAAATGTTAAGACTTGATTTTAACTTTGAATTTCATTTTGCTTGCAAGGAGAGATGTATGCATGAGAAGAAATGCTTTTATTTCCTCCTGTGGAAGAATTATACTCTTATTTCAGGAATTAGTAATCAGAGTAATTTCAAATTCCTACCACTTTGTGCTTGAATTTTTGAAGGACAGGATATGTCCTGCTTTGAATCAGTTTTAATGAAATTCCCATTTCTAGGAGGAGGACATTTTGGATCTTCTGGAGCAGTGTGAAATAGATGATGAAAAGCTAATGGGAAAATGCACCAGGCAGCGAGGACCTAAGGTATTTGACTTCTAGATACCAATTTTTTGTTTCACTCTGTAGGCAGACAGAGTGGGAATTTTAAGTGGGGAATTTAGTTAGCTGATCCTGGTGGAAGTTTTCTTCTTCAGGCTGCCACTAACTTTTTTTTTCTTTAAGTATGGAGAGCAGCATCACTACCAGTTGTCCAACTAAACCCCATTAAAATTTTAAGTGTATGTGAGATCCTTCTTTCCCTCTCTAAACTGTTTTGAGGAATTGCCATGCTTGGCAACCACTGCTGTACACGAGATTTCTTGATTTCAGTGTGTGAAAGGATTTTTATATCAATAGCCTATCTCTGAAGAATGCTTTCAACTTTAATTGATTGGTGTCAAAACTAGGAATTTTGAGATCATGGGATAAAAGGCACTATGAAAGGTTGAAGAATTAATTATAATTTTAATATGTCTGTGGCTTCCTCACTTGCTAAAGTAGTTGTACAGTGTATCTTGGAACCTGTTTTGTATCCAAAATCTGCTTTTAATGTGAATGTATATTATTTTTAGCTTAATGCTTTCTGATTGTGTGCATAGTTCATGTGAGTCTTTGCCTTAAATAAACTGCATATCTCTGTAAGCCAGTAAAGATAAATAGTTTGAGCTTGGCTAAAATAAGTATGTTTTTTTATATCCTGCAAATATTTTAGGTCAAGTCTGCTTGGAAAAGCCTGCATCTGTGTTTCTGATGGATTTGTTTATTGATGCATGTACATTTTTTTACAGCATTTCGTGTTTCTGATGACTTGGTGCACAAATCTCTGAATTTAAGTACAAAATGAATGCTGACAATTGTTCTGAGCTTGAGGAGGTACTTTAGATATGTGCAAGAATCCAAAGGGCTACATCTTATTACAGGCATGCCTACTGGAAAGAGGATCTACATACCCAATCTGGCATTAAGATAGATTTGCAGGGACCTCATTACAAATATGGGGATTTTGTGGGCTAGTGCTTTAACAGCAGTGGATTCATTTAAGGAAGAAGAAAAATCCCGTCCCCCCAAGCAACACACTCAGTCCCCATTCTTGAGGGATTCTTTCCTGGAAGTTTTGTTTTCAGTTCTTTAACAGCGGGTCACTTAATTCGAGTTTAACACCTCAGTCACGGTTTTCCCTTTTGCCAGCAGCCCCTAGGGAGCATCCACCTGTTTGACTGTGTGCACACAGACTGGATCTGTTCTGCCTCCACGCTGCTTGCACACAGGCAATGCCCAAGCTGGAGGCTGGAAACGTTTAAAACTGAGAAACCTCTCTCAGTTAGTTTTAGGATGAATTTTGATTAATTATGAGTCAGACTGTATGTCACAGTCTTCTCTTATAGCAAGCAAATGGACTGTGTAGCTTACAAGCTGCTCTACCAGTACAATAGTGTTTGCACTTATAGGGGAAAAAAAACATTGAACATTGCTGATGACCAAAATTTCCTTTTTTTTTTTTTTTTTTTTTGGTGATAAAATCAATGGAATCAAAATGGAAAGCAATGAAACTAGGTATTCCAGGGAGATTGTTTCTTTTCCTTGCAGTGTGCACACTTCATGCTATACAGGACTCCTATTCCTGCATCCTTTGTGTGGCCCTGTCACACTTCTCCCTGGTTGTACAGTGTCCCCTCCCTTTGAAACACAGAGGCCCATTCTGGATGGGCTTGGATCCTTTACTGAGAGAGTGGCACCTCTGGCCTGGAAGGGTAAGGTGCACATGGCCAGTGATACACATTTCATTGGCCACCTCCTTGTAAAGGGGATGCTTTGAGAAGTGTAGGCTCTAAATATTTATTATATAGAAATCTGGAGAGTGGGACAGGCAGTAGAATTTACTATTGCCTGTCAGTCTGCCAGGTAGGAGAATAACCCAGCTGTAAAACTCTATTTGTAACCATAAAATCCTACAAATAAAGAACTATTTGCATATTAAGAAAGTAACTTATGCAAGTTCTAACATAAAAAACCCTAAACCAACCATGGGACAGGTACCTTTCGTGTCATGTTATCCAACATGAAAGGTTCTTTTAGAAGGTCATAAAGTCTGTCCCCCCTAAAAATTCAGTAGCTGACCTGCTGACAGAAGCTACTGTTAGGAGGTCAGATGCACTGCCTTTCGTGCACTCTCTGCCTCAGAAAAAAGAACAGTCAGGAGGCAGAAAATTCTGTACAGAACAGCTGGAATAGTTAGGGGAGACTTGTTTTCCTCCTTATCCTCCTCCATACATAGAAACGTTTATAAATATCTACATTGGCACATACCTATCTATATATGAAGGGTGCAAGGGGTGTGTGTATAAACTGGTCCATAACTGCCAGGAATTCCAGCCTTATTTTTATTTGAACATGATCAGGAACTCCGTGTAGGAAAACAATCAAGAATTTCTCAGAATGAAGGCATTTTTTTTCCTGCAATTAAAATGTTACTGAGTTTTGTGCAGATTGAGAAATGCATTCTGGAAATGTCCAGCTAACTTGTAGCCTCTAGAGGTCTCCTTACACCTACACACTGCCAGGGTTCCCCGTGCATCACACTGTACCTGTGTGTGGGATGAAGAGCTGAGGAACTGAAAGAACAGCTAGTAGAGAGGAAATGAGCAATTACTCTTATTTTTAATTTCTTTGCTATAAGATCAGATGAGTTTAATCACTGAAAAATCAGGTTATCATAAGGGGAAAATCAAGATGATTAAACTTGCTAAGCAATCAAATTCTCTCTTACTTTAGGAGGTCAGTTTAAACCCAGATCTAGCTATCATTTGTCCTTATTGCTTTTTGTAATTCTTTGACTTTTCTTTTTGTTCTTCTGTATTAATTATGTGAAGTCCTGGTCAGGATGTTCTTAGTGTTTAGTGTAGAATGTGTGAGGAACATGTACATGATAAGTAGAAAGAGATCTACCCTAAAGCCCCTTTGAGTTTTGATTGAAAATGTCTGTTATACCTTATATAACTCATCAGGAAGGTCTGATCAATGTATTTCTGTCACACACAGTATTTCATGATTAGGACAGCTGTTTTTAGAAAAGCAGTAATGCACACTTTGTCCTTTTGGCAGATAGATAAATACATAGAAACGTATTCTTTGTGTAACAGCAATTGTCAGGGCTCTCCTCAATGGAATATTCTTCCTTAACTTCTCTTTATCTGGTCTAACAGTTTGGGATTGCATAATCATGCTGCTACTTTTTAGGCAGAAATCTCTTCCCTGCTTTGTCTAGAATGGAAGTTTAAAAGCATATGTTTAGTTAGAAAATGTATCTTGCAGCAACAGTATGTTTGGGGGCTTTCCTAATAAATCCAGGGTGCATTACATTATGCTAATATATTAGGAAAAATTAAATTCCTCCCGAGAGTTCTTCTATTTCACTCTGACTCAAAGTATATTCAGAAATTATGAAATTATTTTTTTTTAAATCTGAGCTTTAATTGCAATCCATTAGATGACTAGGAAGATGTTGCAATCAGCATTGTTTCCCATAGCTGAGAGTTACTGGACAGAAAATGTGTAGGAAAAGAAGGTGACCAGTTAAATCTACTTAGGGTAATAGAAGTAATAGAGGATACTGCATTTTTCATGTCTGACCGATGGCAGATGGAAGAAGGAAAATTTTCGTTTGTCGTTTCTGTTCTTGCATCGGTTTCTCTGTCTCCTACTTTTTGATTTCTGTCTTGCAGTATCCTTGGAAATAGCTCGGGATTCATTAGCTGATGACACTGAATCCCATGTGCATCTGGGACACCAAGAACACCCAGCACAGCTTTCTGTATTCTTCCAGTTTCTGCTCTCTGCAGGATGTGGATTAATCACTTTCTTTTTCAGAGGTGTAGCAGCCAAAGTTCCTTGGCATGTTTTTTTACTTCATATTGATCATTGCTGAACTCCAACTTCAGTTGTTGCAAATTTCAGTGAAGGACCTAAACTGATTGTAAATAGTATTCTGTATCACTGGATTTATGATTTGGAACTATAATTCACAGTTCTGGTAGTGCAAGTCATACTTGAAATGAAATAATCCCCCCCGCCCCCATTACTATATTATGCTGTTCTTCATGTGAGAAAGATTAGGATTACCATGGAGTGAATGTAATGAAATATTTAAGGATTTATTCTAAAATATAGGACAAACTTCAGTCTACCTTGGGAGGGTTTGTAGCTGTGCAAATCCTGCCTGAACCTGCCCGAATCAGGTACTTTCCCCCCCTCCCCTTTTTCTTTAGCCCCTGTGTTCCATGCCAGAAAGTGCACATTCCTCAAGGAAAACCAAGAACCGCAGCAGTGACAGCAGCTGTGACAGCGGCAGCTGCGTGTCAGAATCGGGAGAGGAAACTGAAAAGGAAGATCACAATGAAAAAAAAGAGAAAAAAGTTTCATATGATCTTGAAGAAAATAAATACAAACCTTTGGAACGATCAGGTAAGTTAAATCACTTTTCCGAGTAAGTCTGGCTTTGATGATGAATTATATGAAATTCTTCAGTATTTTAGAATGTACCAACATTTGTATCTTAGGAGTAAACACTGCTTTGCTTGTTTCATTTTCTTTAAAGTATTTTCTAAATTAATAGATATAGCATGTTATTTTTTTTTGTTTTAGTAGTATATTGTCTCAAAGAATTTCATAATATAATTGCACATGTGTAGTACTGCTTCTAAAATTTTATTTTTCATAGCATTTGTTTAGCAGGAGACTGAGTTAAAATACTACAGCTATACAGGAGCAGACGAGGGATACCAGATCTGCAAATATGGGATCCAGCGAGCAAATTTTCTCTTCTGTTTCCATATTCTTACGGTCAGGAATCCCCACACCGTAGTCACATACTTTTTGACCTACTGAGCACATGCCCTTTCTAATAAACCTTATGGATTTTATAGAGGACTGGAGTCTACTTGATTAAAGCTGAATATGGGGAAGAAATATATGTTCTTATAGAGTGTGGAAATGATGTCTTATCAGGGGATCTGACGTGACTGACTGCTACATTTCTAGTTATTCATCATACAGTGTAGCACAACGCGTTCACATGTGTTGATGGTGTATGTTATTAGTTACAAATACTGAAAAATGGGCGTTAAGAGAATAAGTAATTACATCACTCATTTAATTTGTCTGCAGGGAGAATGAACTGGAAACCTTCCAATAAAAATGTAAAATCTCCATCGTATTCGTCCCCCACCTCCTCCACAGGTGCGATGAGGCGTTCTGTGAGCTGCCCTCGCTCCATAGCAGTACTCACTGTGCAGTCACAGGCGGCTGAGCATCGGCCCTGCTCAGCCAAAGCCTCCCTGCAAATGCAGCGCACCTCCTCGGTCAGCAGGTCTCACTCTTTAAATCGTAGCCCATCTTCGGCCAGAGTCTCTCAGACAGCCACCTTGGGAACCATGAACTCTTCAGGGGTGAGTTAACCCAGCAGCTGCATTCAAAATGTGTCCCATTTCTCCTGAACTCAACAAACACATTACTCATTTGCACCATGTCAGAAAGCCTGAGGTACTCTAGCCAAGGTTGGGAATATAAGATCTCTAGACCTGTCTATGATTCAGGGTGAGGGCCAACTGTGATGTTTCAGTGTTCCTGGTGCAGCAATAGAGATGTTACATTTTGTGAGAATGGAAGCCTGAAGAGCTTTTGGGAATGGGCAACCCTCTTACTAAATAGGTTTTTGAAGATAGGAAGGGTCATTACCTCTCCCCAAAATTTTCTGTGATTTGTTTAGGGGCTTCTGGTTCTGAAATAAAGATGCTCCTACCTTCAAAATCTCTACAGTAACAAAAATAGATCAATACTTCAAACCCAGTGTGTAGTCCAAGGGTAAATATGTTGAACCATAACAAAACATTAGTAAGACTTTGTATGGCTGTCCACTGTAGAAGAAGGTGTGAATAATTTTCAACCTGCAGCTGTTTTATGTATGTTATACCACTGCAGTAGACCTCTACTTCCAAAGAGAACAATTGAAAATTTATGTAGTGCTTGTTGTCTTCAGGATTTGCCACTGCAATAACTGGAAGTCATTTTCTTTCTTTAAAAGGGAAGATAAAAGCTTCTTTCATTTTGAAGCCTCTCCTTGAGACAGATAAGCAACTAGACTAAATAATTAATAACCAGATGAAACACTTCTGGGTGTTAAGATTTTGTGTGGTTAGTTATAATTTCACAATGTTTTTTGAACCATATATATTTTTTCAGTTGTTACCTGACTGTTCATCCTCTTTGGCATCTCCTTCACAGCCCAGGCATTTCTTCTTTCGTGTTTGCATGGTGGACCCCACGTTCACTTGCCCCTGGGCAGTGTTTGTGGGGATCAGTGCCAGCCTCACACTGCATGCTGGTGCCACCGCCTTTCCAGTCGTGCTTTTGATGCCTGACCCATGTGTTTCGTCACCCACAAAATTCAGCTGGAGATGGGGCAAAACAAATTGGCACTTTTAACCCATATTTGCAGCCTTTCTGTATTGTGGTGAGCTTTGATTGTGAGAAATCCTTTTGTAATGCTAATTAACTTGCTTTATAGTATTTACTATCTTTAATCATCATTTTTATCCAGTAGAGCACTCATTGTCTGTTTTGCCTGTGAGGCTTTGTCTAAATGATGAAAAAGGATCCTTTTAAAATTGTGTGCTGACATCTTGTGAAATACTCCTTAACACAGTTTTCCATCTTTAAAGTCAGTTAATAGAACTGGAAAGACAGTAAGATTGTGTCTTCACAACACCGCGTTAAAGGTATTTTTTATCGCATTAGCTATCTCAAGTTTAGAAAGTACCCTTTTATCATCATGATGTACTCTGAGAGTTTAATGAGACAGGGCTAATATAGATTTTTCTATTCACATTAACTTTATATCTAATATAAATTACTGAAAGATTAAGAGCAGTCTCTTACCATCTGACATTAAAAATGGGCTACTCGCTTAAATTAACATTAGTAAGAAACCATACTCTCTTTTTCATTGAGAAAGCCCCACCACAGAAATGATCTTGATATGCAGAACAATTACGCTGGGTGATAGAGCTTAGGTCATGCTTCCTAAAAATGATGTTAATAAAATTACTTACAGAATGGATAAGAACTACTCATAATTTAGCACTGTATTCTGAATGGAACTCTGTTCATAATTATTTTTGCAACTAAGAATAATATAATATATATTACTGCTAGAATAAAATTAAAATTGATAAACTGTGACTCCCTAAAAAGAAATCATTTGTGCATGATAAAGTTTAAGTTTATCTATCTTTTGGGCAAAAAAAGAGCAGTGTATTGCCATTTTTGGAGGCTGCTGGGATCCAAACGTTCTAAAGATACGGAAACAAAGCTCAGAAGAAGCCATTTACAGTTGGAAATTACAGACATGTTATTATAGCAGTTATAAACACAAGTGGATTTGGAACTATTTGCTATCTATTTCAGCCACATTATTATGTATCAAATAGCAGGATATTTTTTTGTACTTGGAAATATGTATCCGTTGCTTAAGCAAAAATATCCTTAAGTATTGTAGTTTTTACAAGATATAGAGATTTAGAAATGCCTAAAAATTTTGAATTTCATCTGTCAGACCCCTTACTGACCAGAACTGGAGCAAAGTGTCCTTACTTTTTAATGCTTCCTGAAATCTTGGCTTAATGATATTTTGCCAGTTTCTGTTCAATTGCTGAAGTCAAGAACCGAAAGGATGATTTTTGTGACTAATAATATTTTTCGTTATGTTGAATTTAAATTCAAAGTCTGTTATCTAAATTTCAAATTTATACTTTAAGTTGTGTGCACCATAAATATTGAATATATATTTGTGTATTCTGTTTCAAACAAACTTACATTGGAACAGTTTTTCTTGAATTTCTTGACAACTCTAAGTAATAGTGATTAATGTAGGAGACACGTGTGTATATTAGTTAGGTCTTGGATAATATGTCAATAAATTTAAAGAGTATCTTTTATATCACCCTATTTATAATATTTTTGGTCAAGCAAACATCTTTATAATGACACTTGAAATTTTTCCTCTGCTTCATATTGGTTTTTAGAGTGAGTCTTTGCTGCAACAGAAAACAAGAGAGCAAGAGGCTGCTTTGACAAAAGAGACTCTTCTCTTAATCAATGACATGAGAATCAAGTTCCCAGGAAAATCAGATGAAGAAACTGAATTAATTATAGAAGATGTAAGTATCTATAAATAAGAAAAAAGAACAGGCTAGACACTGTTTAGACCACTGAAAGGAAGGAAAGTAAAAAGCTCAATCCACCATTCACGAGCTCCTTTGGCCTTGAAACTTCCAAAACTTAGGATAATTCAGAAGATTTTGGAAGTTTGGAGCTTTGCATACTTTGTGACTTTAAAAATGCAGCACTGAAACATTCCTATGTCCCTATAAAATATATGAGAAACAATCAGGAAGGTTAGAAAAACTCAGTTTTTCATTGTGGAGAAAGTTAAGACTTTTAAGTAAGCCAAGAGGAATGTCACAATTAATATTTCATCTGATTGTTAAAACAGATCCTGGCGTGTTTGACTTGCTCTCAGATACGCAGAGCAGAGAACTCAGACCGAAATGTGCAAGGCAGGCTGCAGGTTTGCTGGTCATAAAGAACACCAGTCACACACTTCTTGGCTCTTCCAGTCTAGCAGCTTAGCCTTTCTCACATCCAGCATGGTCCTGAGCCTCGCAGCTTATCAAAGACATGTGAAACAATGCCCAACTAAAGGTCAATTAAACCCCAGTATTAAGATGTATAAGCAGAGATTACATGCTATCTCAATCCCTTTTAAATATTTAGTGCAAAGAAGCCAACACCAGGTTAGAAATGAAAAAAAAAAAAAAAACAAGATAGAAGTTCTTCTCTCAGTTTAGAAGAAATATGAAGGGATCTAGTAATTTAAATTAGCACCTGTGTCCTGATGTGGTAAGCACAGCCCATGGTGACTCATTCATCTGATTCATTATCTGGCCCAAAGACTCCTTTGCTCTGAGAGCTTTCAAAATGTTGAAAACATCAGCAAACTACATCAGAGTGGAAAGGAATTCTCCTGTAATGATGGTTGATTGGTGTGATGCTGGAAGATAACATTCATCACCAGTAGACTGGGTTTCTTATCTTTGAAGCAGAACTAAAATGCTGCATTAAATTTTCCCTTGTGCATTTCTGCAGCGGTGGGAGTGTGTGCTCCATCGAGCGGTGCTTCCTCACACACCTCACCGGGGTTAGAAACGCCTTTCCTATGGCAGAATTCCTTTATAAATTCCTCTGGCCTTAACCATTCCTGATGGGAAATAACATCTCATCATGGAAGGAAACAAGTGATGGTATACTGGTTGTCTGTGAGGCAGAACTTGTTGTAGGTCTGGAATGGAACAGAAAGAAAAAACAACAAAATGAAAATAAAAATGTCTGTTGGCAGCTTGAGCTGTTTTGGTAGCGCTTAGACAAGGTAAAAGGAGAGCACTGCAGTTGATCTATAACAGTTTATGGAAAAGATGTTCTCCAGCTAACGCCCAGTGTCCCTCACACAACCACCCCCTCACTATTCCAATAGGTGAGCAGCTGTGCATCCCTGAACTCACTGCTGTGTTCAGGAATCTGGGCCCAGCCAGGCAAGACAAGTTTCCAGCTGCTTTGTAGCCTGTGGTTGTCTGAATCGGGTAGAAGAGAGGGCAGGGTTAGACTCAAACATTGCACATGTCTTTGCAAACCTTCCCCCACATGAATTTGCAAATATTTTTCCATTGGCTTTAGAGAAAGCTTCTTGGCACGGTGGTGTTTTAGATGCTGACATTTTTAAGCATTAGGAATGCTCATGGATGAAATACCACCTTTTGGTTGGTTTTTCTGTATTTTTTATCTTGTGTTTTACAATGATTACAGATTATGGATAATTGGAAGTATCACAAACCAAAAGTATCATTCTATTGGATGGTAAAACTGGATCCAGCAAAGCAGCGAAAAGTAAGTGCCGTACTTCATTTGCTGAAGGTGAACTGAAGTAGATGCATAGCAGTGTTTCTGCTGGTGTTACAGTAGCTGGGAGTGACTCGAGATGCTGAAATCCTGGCTCTTGGTACTAACATATATATGAATTAATTCTATTGCAGGAAATTGTATTGCTCCCTATTTGGAGAAGCATGATTATCCTGGATTATAATTTAAAAAACAATTTCTTAAAAACTTAATCTGCTGAAAGAAAAGGAAACAAATAAATGATTAGTAGCTTAAATACCTAATTTTATCTAACATTCTTAGAAGTGTATTGACTCAGCAGATTTGATTCATAAGGGCTAAACCAGTCAGCAGTTTCAGACCAGGCATGTTAAAACTCATCAGAGTTAGTGATATTGCACTTGGCTATTTGAGTTTTTGACCCACAGTACTGGAATAGATTATATTGAATAAAAAATGGACCTGCCAAGCCAAGAATTTTCTCCTTTAGGCATTATTTCAGAAAGCCTACAATAAAGGGAGGTTCTCCCCTGCATTTGACTGGCAGTCATGTTAAACCAGGGGTACCTGCAGGAAGTCAGGATGATACAGATTGATCCAGGTTGTTATTCCCAAAGACTGCACAGCCAGAAATGTGGACTTTTTGCTCTTCTTGTGAGGATATCTTTTACAACTTGGGAGACTTATAATTCCTGAAGCACTAGCGAGCCCTTCATCTTTGCTCGCACTGGAAATGATTTGATTTTTTTTTTAACTGCTTTTAACCTCAATCCCTTCAAGCAATCAGATAGTTATTCTTAGAAGGGTAGTTTATAAAAATGGATTAACTTTGACAATGACATTGCAGCTGAGGACTGCCAAATGTCTTTTGTTGATTTGAAAGAAGTATGTTTTATATTCCAATGAGGTGGCTGAAGGAGAAACGAGCACAAGGTGGAGAATATTTATGCAAGTAAGGAATCTGTCTCAAAGGTACCTTTCCACAACTTTGTGAAATACAAAACAGAATCTCAGCCCCCTCACTATGCTTACTGGGAAATTCTAACACACAAAAAGAAAATATCTGGGCAATGTACTAGATTTCACAGTGTTCATCCCTGACAGCTGTATTTGCTTAACAATTACTGAACACGCTGTAGAAAAATTAAACTTCTGCTCATATTCTTAGTGTGTAATATTCAAGCGTTACAGCACAGGAACAGGAGGCATTCAGAAGCAAGTTGAGAGTAAAACAATTCAATCAATGCATGCTAAAAAAAATGTAACCTCTAAGACTTTCAAGAAAAAGTGACTTTTGGGGTGGGGGGTTTACGACTGCTTCATGTTACATCACTTTACATTTTTTTTTTAGAAGAGTTTTGATGCTTACCAGAGGGTTTTGAATATGCTCTTTCTTAACATCTTGTTCTATTACACCTAGATAATTGCTTTTGTTAAAGTAAATGTTGTAAATTAAAGTAAACAGAAAGATGAAGGCAAGCTAGGGAAACTAACTTAGAAAAGTGAAGGTGTAGGTTTCATGAAGTTCCAGCCCTTGTGCAATGCCTTGTCTCTTTTCTTAAATGGATGACTGAGGCCATGTTTGCAAATTAAGGACAATTAACTGGTACATTTCCTGCTCTGGCATATTGACAGAAACAAAGAAAAGTAGTTCTTTTCCAGAGTACCTGGCAGTCTGTGGCTTGCTCTAAGATACCCAGTTCTTAGTTTTCTGCAACTCCAGGTGCTAAAGTAAAGGAGAAAGCTCTCCATTGGCATCACTGTTCTTAGCTCATGTCTACTGGACCAGTGAGAGACGCTGTGCAGGGTGGAACTGCCCTGTTCCACCCAGACAGGTGAATTACCACTAGTCAGTGTTACATTGCAAAGAAACACAGGGTTGATCCTTATGTAATTTAGGGACTTGGTTAGTTGAAATGGATGTATACAACCACAGACACCTGCCATTTGTGTGGGAAAGCCTGAGACAGGTGAGACACAAGGAAAAGTGCTTGAGAAGCATGAAGTCAATAGGCTAATACTGCTAAGGAAGTGTCTGAAAACCTGGACCTGCCCCACAGACATGGGCAATCCAAACCCTGGGTTTAGCTCCTGCTGTCACTAAAAAAAGATAAGCATCCTTAGGTTGTAGTTTCTTTCACTTTCTATCTCACTCTTTGGGAGGAGGAGACCACGGGTGTGAGTTTTTGTGGGCTGGACACCTGCATGCACCAAGATTCCCAAGAGAGATGACAGTATTGTATCTGCACTGGATTATGATGTGCGTGGAATTAGTGCAAGACCTATGTGTGCAAACTAATTCTAGGTCTTCAAAAAGAGCTTAAATAACATGGAAACCCCATATTTCATCAAGGCTGACTTTATTAGGTATCTATGGATTTTCTGCCCATGAGGCACTGCTACACAGCTTCCCTGTGCTATTGCAAGCATTTTATTTATTTATGCTTTATTTCCTTCATGGTGTCCTATCAGGCTATTTATAAACAAGTTTGTTATGCAGGACCAAAAAATTGCAATTCTACACCGTGCTTCCATACTTTATTGTTCTACTAAATCTCTTTCACCTTTTGAGAGACCTGTTTTACCATGTGAATCACTTTGTCATCCATAACTGGAAGCTTCCTGGGAAAGCATTGTACCTTCTCATTTACAAAACCCTATATCAAATCAATAAATACCTCCATCTGTTTACTGCTCACTTGGGGCTGACTGTTTTTGGAAGATGCTGTAAGGCACAAGAGGCAGAGAGGCTGTTTCCTTTTATGGTGATTTAACTGACTTTTTGTTACATGTTCTCTGTAAAATAGATGGTATTTTAAAACGGGGTGAGAAAAGAAGATATATAATATTTGGGTTGTTAGTTAAGTTGCTTCTAGTCTGTAATTGTGTCCATTTTGTTTCTTTTTAAACTCTTTTTGGCATTTAAATGAACTAGTATTGAACAGACTGGAAAAATAGAAATGAACTTTTCTGTAATAAAAATAAAATATTTTGATTTGGCTTTGCAAAATGTTATTGACAGAAAAAGCACATAATAAAAGCTCGCTGATGAATGCCCAGAAATGGAGCAGACATCTGTGGGGATGGATAGCTCTGCAGTCATCTGTGCGTGTGTGCAGTCAGTCAGCCAGCAGTGGGGTTTCAGTTCTGCAATATGCCTTTGTTTTGATTTACTTGGAATCCTCTTCCCTAGGTTTTGGATATAGTCAGGACAAGTGTTCGTGCGGTTCTCCAGCACGTCTGGAAAGCTCCAGACATCGAGAGTTTGCATCTGTACCGCCTTTTTGACCGTGTATTTAATCGCTTACTTTGGAGCCGTGGCCAAGGCCTGTGGAACTGTTTCGGGAATTCAAGGTAAGCCTCTTTGTCTTTTCTGAGCCCTCTTCACAACTTCACCTTTACAATCAGTGCTGGCACACTCCCTTGCTCATTTTCCTTCAAGAGAATACTGTAATAGTAGAGTTAAATCTAATAATCCAGGCCAACCTTTTCAGAAGTGGAATCCAATACTTAGTTATATTTTTACAAATATAATAATCTAGGGAAAATAATCTAATTGTCAAAATATCTGAGCCCTAAGTCAACTCTTCCATGGGATGGGGCATGATTTTCAGGCCAGACCGCTGTGTCAAACATGGACTTGCCATCAACAGAAATCATTGTTATATCTATTTGAGCTCCAAACTTAGAAGGGAAGAATTCAGTCACAAGTGCATCTGATGTCTCATGCCAAATGCAGTGTCACTTCTGTGATTTACAGTGAGTTCAAATTTATGTGCTTGATTACATTTCCTGTTTCCCATACTGGTGGAAGCCCAAGTATGTGCAGAATGTGAAGTGTTCTCACTGAGGTAAGCAGTAGAATGGAGAATAAACTCTGTGTAGCACATGGAGGAGGTTGCACAGGCACATTTATAAGGTTTTGGGTTGGGTGGCAAATACAAGTTTTCTAGGGGGAAAAAAGATCAGGCCATGTAAGTAAGTTCAATAATCTACACTTCAGAATCTACATTCCTGAAATCAAAGGCATTCATGTAAAGAGGGATCTGGGGGATCGTATCATGGGTATAAAACAATCCCACCCACCCACCAAATTTCTTCATAAAGTAAGAATACAAATGTTTAAATATGAAATATATTGCATACAAAAAGGGACATTTTCTCTGTCAGTACATAAGATGTATAAAGAAGGGGTTTTGATCAGCTTGCATAGGGTGTTCTAAAAGGTGTATTTGAAATGAGCTACAACAACCAATATTCTGCTGATGGGTTCTGTGTGTACAAAGGAATCAAGTCAATAGGTTGTCCACATATAGTCCTTTGTCATATGTGGAGAATGCATGCAATACCCATTTGTTACCCTCAAAATGGATAACAACAAGAGGGATCTGAGGGATCTAAAAGATCAGCGTGATTTTTACCAGCATCTTCTCAATGCCAAAGGCTTGTTGTTGTGCAACATTATTTTCACTGAGAGGAGCTGTTGGAATGTGCAGATAATGTCGGCCTTAGGATTTGCACAGGTGGGTACTGGGAATGCAGCACACTCCAAAAGTTAAAGTAGGGTTAGAAAAGGTTTCTGTGTTTCCAGTCTGAAGCTTTTGTTTTTGTATAATCCTCAGCAGCTGCTGGATCCCTTCTTCATGCTAGCAGAGGTGTGTGAAGTCTTGAGTCCAAGCTCAATTCTTTTGTTGTTATAAAATATTTTAATTACCTTCCTTTTTAATAACACTGTTACTATTCTGTATTTTATTTTTAGCATGCAAATCTTCTAATGTGCATAAAAAAATTCATTTTAGATTCTTTTTCTCTGCAATGACTAGTTTACCTTTGAACAACTGTGCTTCTTGCTTGACTTGGGATAAGTTTGAGCCAGCTGAAGAGTTCAAGGGAGGCTAGGATTTTTTGTTCATGCAGAACAAGACTCAGCTGAGTCCAAAGTGGAGCTATTCTTTGGCAAAGATCCATTTTCTTGTAGGAGGAGTTGCTATGTAAAAGATTTAAAAAAAAAAAAAAGTAATATACAAATATCCAGTACACGCAGAGATCACTCTGCATGTAATATACTTATTACAGAATTCAGGGAAGAAAACAAAAAGGCTGTTTGCACCTGCCCAGTATGTTGTTTATTCAGTTGCAAGCATCCTTCTTGCCATGGAATGCACAGCTGAGAACTCATGACAGCACCTCTGCAGCAGAGAGGCCAACTTCTCATCTCTTCCCTATGGTACCATCTTAAAGAACAGACTGGGATAAACATAGGCCACGTGTAGGATTTGGGAAAACATGTTGGGAAGGGGTATTAACGTGCTGATTCAGAAACAGAATGATTACATGAAAATATATTAAGCAATGCAATATGTTAACTATTCATAAGATATATGTCTTGAGAGAAGAGAGGAGCTAATACCGTTAAGGTTTCCTTTTGATGGTTAAATCTCTGCTTGCTATGTGCTATTTTAGTAAAAAGAATGAAAAATGAAAATCTCAAGGAAAAAAAAGGGATGTAGATGGTTTCATAAAGCAACATTTGTTTTACTGTATAATAAACAATTAAAACTAATAAGACAAATTGTTGACTTCAGATGGCTATAAAAAGAATAACACATAATTGACCATATTGAACATAACTGACCATATTGCACAATCAAGTATACTAGCCTTTCTTTTGATCTGGTGAGGACTCCATGATTTCTCACTAACGTGTGGAAACTAAAGTTACAGCACAACAAATTAAGGTTCCTTAGGAAACAGTACTCTGATCCCTGCTGACTGCAGTATAATGGGGAATAAACTCTGTGTAGCACATGGAGGAGGCTGCACAGGCACATTTATAAGGAAGCTCATTAAGATTCCCATGGATGTTTGCAGATCTCAGCCGTTGTTATTGGGGTAACAGAACAGCACTGTGCTCTGGTCTGCCACTGTTTGTGTTAAATTGTGTAGACCTTTCCTGTGCACAGGCAAGGTCATGCTTTTTCTCTTGTTCCTCTCTTGTTGAATCTGATAGAAAGCAGTAAAGCTCTTAGATGGCAATTCGTGACAGAAAACATGAGTTTGTGTCTTTTTCCATAACAGGAGCTCTTGGGAAACCACGTTCAGTAAAAGCACAGAGGTGGTGACTCCTGAGCAACTCCAGTGTTGCCGACGAATAGTACAGCTTTGTAAACGCTGCCTGCTGGTAGTTTACAAATACTCATCAGATTCAAGAGGATCCCCGACTGGGATCAGCCACCACTGGGATGATACAAGGTATAAATTTGAATATTATAAGTATAATGGATAGCATTGGAACAGGTTTCAGTCTGCGTTGCTGCCACTACACTTTTCTTTAAGCCCGGTTCGCTCTGTATTTAAGGGGGAAAAAAAGCAAACTCGCCAGCATTTCCCTTGATCCTGGGTCTCAATCATTCCAGTCTCACTAGCCCATTTACAAAGGGCTACCAAAGCAGGATTTGGTATATAGATCTTGAGTGAAAGTGCGCTTATTAAACTCTTGATTGCCTACTGCCTAATTAGCTGCAGCAAAGGCTTTCCATAAAGTGAACTGAAAATTTCCTTTCTTCCCCTTCTCAGATCCCTCAAAGTCACTGTTTCCAGATTTGCATTCCTAGAGGTATCCTAGCATGTCAGATACTTGTGGCTTCACATTCGCAGTGGGATGCTGTAGGGGCACAGCTCCAGCCAAGGGTCAGGTAAGTGCCATCTGATTTACTGCATTGCACGCTTTGGCAAAGCCCATTTCCAAAACCTATAGGCTGAAAGTTTTATTATTTCATCTTACAGAGCAGAAATATATTTTCAAACCTTGCAAAACAGCATCACATAGTAAAAGGATTATTTGGCACTTACCCGATTCTCCAGTGGCTGGTTTAGTTCTCCAACTGGATGCAACAGGGATTATAATATTGTCAGTACAAGGATTACTGGAAATGCTCCAACTGTGGAAGTCAGTGATTTGGGATTTAACAGTCATAGGTGGAGAATTAAATATCAGTTTCAAATTGCTTAGCTTCTAAATTCTATCCATAATGGCAATTTTAATTATTGTGCATATAAACTTACAAATGCTTTGTTTATGTAAAATATCTTACATATATCATTTCACAGAAGGGCTTTGTGATTTAAACACTATGTGAAAAGCAAAATTTTGATATATTATCTGTTAAACTTATTTTATGGCTTAATTGCTTACTTGATATATCTCAGATTAGTTATTTGATACACTGAACCCATTTGTTATTGACATGTGGATCTTAAGACACTCTAACTTAATGTAAAACCAATCAGAAACTGAATTTGTTTGGTCACAGCAAAAGCAGAAGTATGTTAGCCACAAACCAAATCATGTTCAATATTAACATCTACTCAGCTACAGCAAGAGTATGGTAAAGTCATTTGGATTAGCTAAGACTAGAAAATCTTCAACCTTGAAGTTTTTATTGCTTTCACTGTCAATACTGCAGAAACTCTTCCATCATGACCAACCACAAACTATTCCAGCTGATCAGATTACTCTGCTGTGCTGCAGCTACAGGCTTGCATTTGGACAGCAAGGAAGGGGATGGTCCAAGACAACTTTCTCGTCCCCAGTTTCTGTGTTTCTTTGGATGCTGAAGGGAAGTTTATTCCTAAATTTCACAAGCTAGAGGAATTTAAGCCCTTTATATATGAAGTATCAGTAATGGAGTGTCATGACAACTCTGATCACAGTTACAGTTTTTATATTAGTCTCCACAAATGTTTCATCTATACCTGGATACAGCAATATGCCAGGTAACTGATATTCTCAATTTGTGAAGTGAAAGATACATATGGAAATAAATGTTATGGTCCACAATTGTAAGGTAATGGAATATTTTTCTAGAAATGGGAAAACCACAATACTATTTCACTTAGATTTCTGGTTTTAATGCATCTGCACTAGTAATAATAGTTTTCTTGACTCGCCATAAAATTGTATGGTACAAGAAAAGATCAGAGTATAATTTAATAAATGTATGAGAAGTCAATTTTTTCAACACTTTATAAAATTTAATTTGAAGAACTTTGTTTTTTCTGAGCACAAACCAATTTATTATTTTGCTTGTGATTAAGAAACAAAGTATGTGAAACTAAAGCTTTCGAATATTACAAATAGATACCTCTTTAGCTGAGAAATCATTCGTATAGGGAGAGAAAAAAAGATAATGAAAACTGAGAACAAATTAAATTTATTCTCAATCCTCTTAACTGTAAATCCACTGTATGTCATGAAGAATACAATGCTCCTGAGTAAGAGCAGTGAAATGTTTATTAATGACACTTTTTTAGTCACAAATTGAAAGTGTAAATAAAACAATAGAAGAGCTCAAAAATATGCCAAAATCTCTTAAAAAATTAGCTAAAATCAAACTGTATACAAAGTCAGAGCTTTAATATTTATATAAATTCACCTGTGTTGTAAAATTTAAAAAACCCTAAACCATCTACTGCTAGGTCCTTACATCTTGCTAAGTGATCTTATCTGTTACATGGCAAATAATCCTGGGAAGTGTTAGAGTTTTTTGCTGTAGTGACATAGTGAACTGTCAAGCTCAACACCAACCCATTTCAAATCTGACTTTGTTTTTTTGCAAATTGTTTCAAAATCTATCAGTGGTAATATAATAAAACTTTTTCTCAAGCTTAAGCAAACCTCATGTGTACATTTTCTCTGTGTAGTCTCTTGTTTCTGTCCGTGTGATCAGTCTTTTAACTTATTCAGCATTAGCCAACATGATTCACTAGAATCGTACAATAATTTCTCAGCAATGATTTATACAATGGGTTGTGTTAATCCTTCCTAACACTGACATAATTAAATGTGAATTCTAATTTTGTATGGATGTTATTTTTGCACACTTAACTGTGCTCATTTAATGACTTCTACAATTAGGTAATTGTACCATGAAAATAGTTAAGAATTAATATTAAGCACATGATAAACTATTGTTTGTAGTATTATATGAAATACAAGCTATATAGTTGCCTGAATTGAAAAGATAAATAGTTCCTGATGTGAATGACTAGGTGTAGCATCATTTCCTCCTTTACAAGAGTAGCGATGATAACATCTCTATTTTTAGATAATTAGAGCTGGAAACCAAAGCTGAAAATCTAATTTTCTTCTCTAATAATTTTTCTTTTTTACAACTTAACTTTTTATAAGCTGTTTAATGCCACTTGCAGTTTTTGCCTAGTTTAAATTAAACAAATAGTACTATAATAACAGAGACCAATGGTCAAAGTTTTAATTTTTGGTAGTAGTGTTACACAGGGTTTCGTGGTTTATTTAGTAGATGGCTTGAAACATAAAGGACTAGAAAGCTGTTTGGTCCTCATACAACATTTTGAAATTTTGCTAAGAGTTTCTCAGAGTTTAGATTCCTTTTCTGAGTTAGATTGTGCCTACTGCCCTCTGTATTTTATAAATAGTATTTACTGCACGCAGTTGCTTGCATACAACAATGATAAACATTAATTCTTTTGCTCTTGAATATTGCTTTGTCTGTAAACTCTGCTATATTTTTCATATCCTTTCTAGGTATTTATTGCCAGGACCTTCACTGTTCATCCTGAAATCATCCTCATCCAAACTTAGCTGCAGTTCATCTGGAATGCCTCGCCCTAACATTCTGTTCACACACAGATACAGTCACTTGTGAAGTAAAAGGAAAGTTGCTCTTTGTAAATAATAGCACCAATATTTTTTTTTTCAGTTTAAAATTTGTGATGAAGCTAAATATAAACACTGTTATATATTTCCTACCATCATATTATAATAAAATTTAGCTTAAAACCTACTGTAAAAGCATAGCTTTTCTGGGAACATATTAAATCTTGTTGTTTACATACACATGTGAATGTGTAGATCTTGCTAGGTTTATAAGTAATTCCTTCCTACTAGAAATGTTATTTTTGCTGCAGAATATATAAAATGGAATTGATCTTGAAGATTCTATTACAGTATTACATTATTTTGTAAGTAAAATACTTTGACTTGAAAATTATTTATTGTAAACTATATTATTTATTGTCTCAAATGTAATTGATCCTTTAACAAGGTAGATAATTGAAAAACTCTAATAGAACAGTAAAACTGTAACAGTCATCAAAAATAATCTGATCAGTTCTTGGACATGTTTAAAATAAAAGCCAAAACTCTGCAAGCCAAACCTAAAGCAGACATATTTTTATTTCTCCTCTGAAATGACAAGATCCATTTAATGCTGCTATTTTTCTTAAAAGACATGACATAGTATCTTTTAGCCAAAGCAAAGGCATCTAGTAGACAAACAGTAAAATATCAGTTAACTGGATTATTGTAATCAAATGGAAGCCAATGTTTGTTTCCAGGTTTTTGTTCACATTACCTATACCCTGTGCCTTTAGGTTTCCTTTGGGAGCAAGAAGTCACCTTCAGCTTGCACAAGCATGCACAGTGCAAGTGGTACAGCAGACATTTTAGGAAGTACTGCAGCTGTAATGTATTGTTTCCAACTTTAATTGGTTTGTTGTAGTTTTTAGCATGCAATCCAGTACCTACTGTAGAATGGATCCTTGCAATGGGGAGTGTTTTCTAGGTGCAGCCTCCTGGGGCTGGCTGAAGGGCACAAAAATAAACCAAGCCAGAGCAGGAACCTCGTATTAGCAGGGTTTGTACCCTGGAAACATCATTCAGGTTTTGCTACATACAGCCATTCATCCCACTCAGCATTGTGTCATGTGAGCCTTATTCATTGTAGAAATAATTATTAAACAAATCAGTTAATCTAGATTTAAAAATTGTTTCTTAACTGAGTAAAGAACAGAGTATTTATTATTTACCAAAGACTTGTGTACTTATCAATTGTTTAACCCTGATATGTGTTTGTAAATTATCGATGTATTTCAGGTATACTTAAAAAAGTAATTTGGGGGCTACTTATCCTCAGGAGCAAGTATGTTCATAGTTTTTGATATGCAGCGATTTAAGACAAATTTAAGAGACTAAAGAAATTTCAGATTGAAGTTGTATGGAAATGTGTTGGTTTTGTTTTTATTTTTTTAATTTTAGTCATAGGATAAATAAAGCTGGGAATTTGGGTGAGATTTTTGATGCCTGTGCTGTAGTGCCTCAGCTCTAGAACTGCAGAATATATGATAACAAGACTATTTGTAAACAATTAAAAAACCTTCTTGAGATTAGCCAGATAAAAGCAGTCTTTTTGTCTGGTAAAGTCTTTTTAATTTTTGTGGTAATATTAGTTCAGTAATATAACATGTTCACATTAATGGCATATCTCTTTTGGTCCATACAGTGACTATTAATGCCTACTGTGGTTAACTGTAAGACCTAATAAAAGCTGTAAATTTTCTCTTCTTGGAGAAGGCTTCCATTGTATTCTACTTTTGGCCATAAGGATGAGATCAGCTTCCCATTTAGCTTCCCAGACTCAAGCAGAGCTTTAGGTAGGAGGTTCATATGTCTTTTCCTTTTTATTTTTTAAATTTCATTATGATTTCTATGCTCAAATGCCAGTGCTGGGCCAAGTCAGTCTGCACAGAATACTCTGCCAAAAGAAAGAGGGCCACTAACCATACCTATGCAGTATGGCCAGATTTAGGAAAAAAAATACATTTACATGTACAAAAGTGGAACAGACAGTGCTTTACGTCTGACATTACTTAATATATTTGTGTTTCTGATAACCTTTCCTGAAGCGGTACTGTGTTCCTACTAACGTGTGAATTAATACCTTCAATAAAGGTATTAATTAATTAATTAAGCGTGCTCCGCTTTGCTGCCAGCTCCTCGGAGCCAGTGCGCGTGGTCTGCGGGTGCATGACAGGCTGCACCTGTAGCCCAGACCCAGGTGGTGCCACAGGTGGAAGCATTTACCCCTTTCCTCTGCATTCCCTCTGATCAGATGGGTGGGCCTGGCGCCCGCCAGGTGTGCCGTGCCCGCCAGGTGTGCCCGCCAGGTGTGCCGTGCCCGCCAGGTGTGCCCGCACCGCCTCGGCCCGGCCCTGCGAGCTGTGCCGGGGAGCAGCGCAGCCCCTTCAGCGCCTCTGGCAGTGCGCGGCTCCACGTGCTGTGGCAGCCGCGAGAAAAAGAGGAGAGCGCAGACCAATGTTACTGGGGTTGGGGAGTGTCCCGAGCGGGGAGAGAGCGGCCCTGAGGGCCGGGCAGTGCCCGGGGCTGTGAGGGGCGCTGGACCGTGAGGGCCGGGCAGTGCCCGGGGCTGTGAGAGGCGCTGGGCCCTGAGGGCCGGGCAGTGCCCGGGGCTGTGAGGGGCGCTGGGCCCTGAGGGCCGGGCAGTGCCCGGGGCTGTGAGGGGCGCTGGGCGAGCGCCGTTCCCTCGTCAAGGGCCATTAACAGCGGGCAGAGCCCTCGCAGCCGCCGTGGCGGGTCCTGGAGCGGAGCCGAGCCGAGCCGGGCCGAGCCGGGCCGGGGCGCTGCCCTGAGGGAACCGCGAGGAAGGCACGGTAAGGCAGGTAAGGGGCGGCTCCGCCAACAAGGGCCCCAGCGTGAGGGCACCCGGGGGGGGGGGGGGGGACGGGACACAAGTGCCGATTGAGAAGCATTGCAAAGGTTTTTACACGTTATTTGAGGTCCGAAGAGTAAGGAAAACACATTTTTGAAACCATTGCTTTGATGATGATGCTTTGATGAAGTGATGTTGAAGAAAACGCTACTTGAAGTGCCTCACAAGGGCACCTGTTCGTAAATCTTGGCCTCAGGTTAGTGTGCTGTCTAGAAAGGAATATCTTATCATCATGATGGGAAAATTAGTCTGTAACTGTTATTTCTCTGTGCAGGAAAGTAAACAAATTTATTAACTTTTAAAATTACATCTGGATGGTTCCTTAGCTGGTCTAGGAGTTGTAGAACAAATTCATTTTTATAGATAAAACCTTAAGTTTGCAGTTTATGAGTTACCCCATATACTGAAGTGCAGATATTGAAAATGTGCCCAGATGGATCTGGACAGGCTGGCTGGGTGAGCCGATACCAGCACTATGAGGTTCAACAGGGCGAGTGCCAAGTCCTGCTCTTGTGTCACAGCAACCCCTGTGGCACTGCAGGCTCGGGGATGAGGGGCTGGAGACAGCCAGGCAGAAAGGGACCTGGGTGAACATGAGCCAGCAGTGACATCCTGGCTTATGTTAGAAATGATACAGCCAGCAGGACTAGGACAGTGACTCTCCCCCTGTACCAGAGAGGCCACAGCTTTAGTGCTGTGTCCAGTTCTGGGTCCCTCGAAGCAGGAAGGACACAGGTGCTGGAGTCCAGAGAAGGGCAGTGGAACTGGTGAAGTGTCTGAAAGGTGAGTACTGTGAGAAGCAGCTGAGGTTGTTTAGGCTGGAGAAAAGGCTGCTCAGGGGTGATCTTATGACTCTTTACAACTCCCTGGAAGGAGATTGCAGCCAGGTGGGCATTGGCCTCTTTTCCCAGGGAACTAGTGACAGAACAAGAGGACACAGTCTTAAGCTGCACCAGGGGAGGTTCAGGTTGGACATTAGGAGGAATTTTTTCACAGAAAGGGTGATTAACATTGGAATGGGCTGCCCGGGGAGATTGTGGAGTCCCCATCCCTGGAGGTGTTTAAGAATAAAGACTGAATGTAGAAAAGACTGAATGTGGCACTCAGTGCCATGCCTAATGGACAAGGTGGTGGTTGGTCACAGGCTGGACTTGGTGATCCCAGAGGTCTCTTCCAACCTGATTGATTCTGTGAAAAGAATGACTTGCATTGACAGTTACAACATCTAATTTAGATGTTAGCAAGTATAAGTATCTGCAAGTTAGCTTTGCGTGCATTGTTAAAACAGTTAACTTGAAGCTGCAAATGGGAATCTGTTTCCAAAAGGAAATAATTTGCTGTTACATGGCATGCTTACTAGAAAATCTTTCACTCCAGCATTTACTAAATCATTTGTAATTTCTTCTGTATGTGGTAAAATTCCCATGTATTAGTTGCTATTCTGCACCTGTGTTCTTTGTTCTCTGCCAGCTACCTCTGCAGCTCCCTACATTGTTGAAAACTCTTGTTAACATAAAGGAGTCTTTGTTAGTCTGTAAACACCTGTAGTACTTTAGAACGCTTAAGGAAATGGGTTTAATTTTACCCTTTAGGTATATGGAATGAAAGATTCTGCTTGTGGAGGATCAAGGCAGGTGTATTCCTGGTGTTTTTTAGCATATCCTCATTTCTTCTTTTAAAACAAAAGGCAACATTTTCGCAGTAAGGAGAACTCATAATACTGAACTGAGTACTGCCCTCCTTTCACTACAGATGCTGTAGCTTATACCATAAAATAAGGCAGTTCAGACTGCTGTGTATGGACTCAAACACACCCTGGATGAGTCAGCCTGGTCTATGCACCACAGCTCTGCTGGAGCCTGTCCCTGGCTGGAATGGTGCCTGGCACGGGTGCCCAGTCCCCTCAGTGGGCCGTGCTGGCTCAGGGGCTGCACAGCATCGGTCACTCTCTGTGTGGCCCCTGGCAGGAGTGAGCAGCAGCATTAAGGAGCGTAGGGAAGTGACCCCTACCAGGCTTTCCTTCTGTGCCCTCACAAAGCCGCTGTTCACAGCCCCTGTCAGGCAGTTTTGCTGAGCACCATCACACAGTGCCGCTCCAGCGAGGTTTGGCAGCACAGGCAGTCCACTCACTGCAGGGCACTGGCTTTGAAGGCTGAGGGTGATGGTCATGAAGTAGACTGGGGCCCAAAAAGGGTATTAGAAGTAAATGGATCTGATGAGGATAAACATTGTCCTGGAGAAGGCTTCATATTAAAGCTTTTCCTTGTGCCCACC